AAGAGTGAAACTCCGTCTCAAAAAAAAAAAAAGTATTGTTTCTAACTATCACAAAACATTGCAAGTTTCTGTTATTTGCACATCACAGATGGGAAACATATCAATGACATAGCTCCTGGGCATCTGAACCTGACTTTAAATCCATGTCTGTTTAATCCCAATGACTGAACCCTCAGATACCACCTGGCACTCACTTCTGTGTTTCCCACACCTGTTTCAGATCCTTCACTACCACGAGGGTCCAGCACAGCTCTGCTCTGACATCAGAAAGGAGGGGAGTCCCAGGTCAGCCATTTGGCCCTGGACAGATAAGCCCTTTATTTACTTCTTTCTCCCTGTAATGTTGGGACAGACAAAAATGAACAGTTATTAAGTGCCTGTGCACTAAGAGCTTCTGGCTTATTTCATCTTTTTTTTCTTTTTTGGAGACAGAATCTTGCTCTGTTGCCCAGGCTGGAGTGCAGTGGCACAATCTCAGCTCACTGTAACGTCTGCCTCCCGGGTTCAAGCTATTTTTGTGCCTCAGCCTCCCGAGTATCTGGGACTACAAGCAGGCACCAGCATGCCTGGCTAAATTTTGTATCTTTAGTAGAGACGGGGTTTCTCCATGTTGGCCAGGCTGGTCTTGAACCCCTGACCTCAGGTGATCTGCCTGCCTTGGTCTCCCAATGTGCTGTGGTTATAGGTGTGAGCCACCTCGCCTGGCCTACTTCATCTCATTAAAAAAAAAAAAAAGATTCCCAAATCAAAATCCTGGCATCCAAGGAAATCTGGAAGGGCCAGCCTCAGTTTCATGGTCTACTTCTCTTGCATTTCTCCTCAACGCTCCTTGTGCCAAATGCTCACCTCCTCCCTGAAGGAGACCATCTTTAGTATTCACCAAGTCCTCCAGATCGCTGATGAAGCCCTCCCCCTTTTCAGTTCAGGATATCAAGCCTGGCTTTGGGTAAGCACAGTCATCACTGAGAGGCTTTTAGGCTAGTGTCCTTGAGCTCTTGGTGGGAAAGCCCATTCACAGCTGCAGCGTTTCCTGTGACTCATTAGAGGTGCAACCTATTGAGAAAGATAAAGGAATATGCCGGGCGCGGTGGCTCAAGCCTGTAATCCCAGCACTGTGGGAGGCCGAGGCGGGTGGATCACGAGGTCAAGAGATCGAGACCATTCTGGTCAACACGGTGAAACCCCGGCTCTACTAAAAATACAAAAAATCAGCTGGGCATGGTGGCACGTGCCTGTAATCCCAGCTACTCAGGAGGCTGAGGCAGGAGAACTGCCTGAACCCNCCCCCCCCCCAAAAAAAAATGGAATACACAGAGGACTCAGGCAGGGATTCATTTATTCCACAAAAATCTGAGTCTACCATGTGCGAGGCCCTCTGCTAGGCATCGGAGGCTTGAAGATGGATAAGCCGGGATTGCTGCCCTCATGTGGCTGAGGAATACTGTCTGCAGTTTTGCCCTATTCCTGCTCACACCCTCCCCGGCCATGTATTTTATGTTACTATATTTCCCGGGCCTTTGCATCTGCCATGGCTATGACTGTAGCCATCCTGAGAGCCAGGGTGAGCCTTTTCCAAGCTGTAGAGTCACAATTCTTCCCAGCTTTTTGTCCTGTTTTTAACTTAATTAAACAGGAACCTGGGCTCTTGTGAGCAGGGTTAGGGGAAAGAGCGATGAGTGGCTATCAGGCATTGAGGACTTGATTCTATTCCGAGACTAGGAGGTCGGCAGCAAGAATGAACCATTCCAAAGGAATCTCTTCTCGGATCCATGCCCCAGCCTTGTTGTGTGAGTGTGAGTGTGTGTGTGTGTGTGTGTGCCCATCCTATCGCTGGGATGGTGTGCCTAGTGTAATTGTATCACAGTGGTGTATTGAATGTGGGAAGGACCTGGCAGAGTGATCCAGTCCTTGGATGAGGGTATCTGGAGGGTGGCGTTCAGGGAGCTGGCCCACGTGTTTGGTGTTCTGCTTGTTGAGTTTGAGGCACAGGTGGAGGACAGGCTGGGCTGAGGAGAGAGGTCAGGGTCATTTCAGATTTGTCTTAATGGTCATGGATTATGCTGCCAAGAGGTGCTGAGAGAAGAGAGACTGCCAAGGACCAGTCTTGAAGAAAGCCTGTGTTCGTGGGCCAAGGGAGGGAGAGGAAGACGCGAGAGGAGTGACTGATGAACGCCACTGGCGTGACACTGGGAGGAGTGAGTGACTGGAGAAAGTATGTGGGGGTGGGGCGGCAGGGGAAGCAGATGGGAGGGGAGGTGAGGGGGCCCGCAAGTGCCAAATGCTGCTGAAGTTGGAGAAAATGAGGTCAGGGTTTGGGAACCAGGAGGGTACTTTGAAGCTTTGAGTGGAGCCTTTTCAGGAAGTATCAAGACTAGAGGGAAAGGTTAAGATGAAGGTGCGGGCCGGGCGCGGTGGCTCACGCCTATAATCCCAGCACTTTGGGAGGCCGAGGCGAGTGGATCACGAGGTCAAGAGATCGAGACCATCCTGGTCAATGTGGTGAAACCCCGTCTCTACTAAAAATACAAAAAATCAGCTGGGCATGGTGGCGCGTGCCTGTAATCCCAGTTACTCAGGAGGCTGAGGCAGGAGAATTGCCTGAACCCAGAGCAATTCTCCTGCCTGGGTTGCGGTGAGCCGAGATCGTGCCATTGCACTCCAGCCTGGGTAACAAGAGCGAAACTCTGGGTCAAAAAAAAAAAAAAAAAGATGAAGGCGCGGAGTAGGGAGAGACATGGTTGGAGGATGGATACTCCAAGACTTGGTTTCTAAGGCACACGTGGCGGAACTGGCTTTGGAAACAGAACCCCAGATACCTTCCCTGGGGTAGAGGGAGGGTGA